AGTAGTGCTACAACGTGCCTCGCTGTCTGTATGCACAAAACTGCCCACCAACACCGTTAATCCATTTTTATTGACAGGCCTTGATCATTTCAGCTTACCACATTCTCCATTCCCATGCTTAATAATGTGCAAGTGTTATCACGCTCTCATAGCGTGTTCATAGGTTGATTGGAATGCCCACATCTGCGGTAAGATGCAGTCCGGCACCGACAGATTATAAGAATAAGTAATATGTAAAGCCTCTACATTTACGTTGCTGTTGTACCAAAGCTTAGACTGTGGTCGCTCGGCAATAACTCTTTTAGGGATTCTTGGCATTGCGGGGCATAGCATGGAATGATCGCTTGCACAGCGATTTCAAATTACGTCGGATACAACTAACTCGAACCTAAATGTTTTCTTCCTATCCCGTGTTATATCTGTCGTCGAGCTCCAAAAGTGTTGCACAAAAACTCTTCCTTTCGCTTTGTGTGGACATGACAATTACGGATTAACCGAGAACCACACACATTCAGATGTCAATGACACCTGGAGAGCGCACAAACCCTATTGTCTCGACTATTTCTAATACATTCCATAAACCTATAAATCTCGTTCTCGTTCTCCTCAGGCCGTGCATGATTTACATCATGTAACTGCAATTTACCAGCACGAGTCTTTGACCATGAACTTTGAGAAACCCAATATCTTGTGCCTACTGCCGATGAGTGGGACTTCTACACGTGTACAATCGTTGGTTTATTTTAGTTTCAACTTAAAACCATCAAATTATCAGTGGTTGTTATTTTTGCTTTGATGTCAGTGTTTGAGACAGTGCGTTGTATGGAAAAACAAATGTTTTGGGTGAACAACCTAGCGTTTTCAGGCTCCGAATGGCAGCTTTCAAAGGTGGCAAGCCATTAATTTGGATAAGTTACAAGTTCTATTTAACTCCTTTAGGCTATGATCATTAACTGTTCGTCGAGATTCTGGTTATCTTCCCGTCATCCGCTGTTTAGTGGGTAACAGAGCCAGCGGCAAAACAAACGGGAGCAGTGGCAGCAGTATTGTGGTAACAATGATAACGGCAACAGAAACAGCAGTTACAACAATAGAGGCAACGACAACAACAACGCCAGCAACAACCTGGGCAACAGTAACAACGGCAACAATAACAGTAGCAGCAGCAACCGCGATAACAAGAACAGCGGCAAAAGCTACAACAGCAACAACAACATTAGAGTCAACAACAACAGCAACAGCGCCAGCAGAAACATGGCAACAGCAATGACGGCGACTGCAACAGCGGCAGCAGTAGCAGCGGCGAAAACAACAGCAGCAGCAACAACAGGGACACACCAACAGAGGTAACAACAACCACCTTCATGGCGTGGTTCGGAAATTGGACACGGTCACTATATTATTCCTTGTATGTTCAGTCAGCAATTGGTCTACGCAGGAAGATTTCATCGAGAATATTACTACAGTTTAATTTGTATGTTATTCCTTTCAATAGGAATCCAGTGTCACTTGTTTAACCCCCTAAATCGGATTCCATTCGTTAGCAAAAGCAATTTCTCAATGACCCAGTCAATACCATGCATAATGCAATTGCCATCTGTTTTAGACCAAAATCATTCACACACAAATTGGTACTTGTCAGTGACTAAGGTTTTCAGTCTGTGAGTTAAGCGTAGACTTCTGTGCCGGAATGTGCCGCGAAGGTTTCTACCATTTGTTGGACCCAGTAGCTTGTCACATGAAGAATACTTGGCAAAAGGTGTCTTGGGAGCTTACTATTGCTATCCCAACCCCCGTTCAAACTCACTGTTCATCGGTTGTAGGTTCATTTATCTGGTTAGCAAATTACTGCCACATAGCTGGATCGTGTCCCAGGCGGAGTCAACACTAGTAACTGGACAACACGATTGTTTTTGATTCCATGCGATGTTCGCTTCTCATGGGAAATAGAGCCATTTGAGGAACCAAACTTGGATGGTGCCATGTGGGGAACGTAGGCTGAGCGGGAAAAAACTGATTTCCATTGCACCTAAGCGGTCGGTTCAGAGATACATGGACATACAGAGAAATGAAGTAGGTAGGCAGTGAAAGTCAAAAGCAAATTGGCTTATTAGCATCAATGCTAACAGTTCTTCTTATCAACTTGCGGGTTCTTGAGGGAAGATTCTGCCTAGTCACACAACCAAGCATCTGCGTGCCAATGAACTTCACGGATATAGGAAGTGCGATTAAGTGTTGCCTTAGCTGAACTACAAAATTCTTCCTAGGTACCATATCTCCATGCAGTCCTCCATGGGAAAGTCGTGTCTTCGGTCCCTCGTCAGAACTGAGGCAGCTGCTATCCGGGAACAGGTAAAAACAAAAAGGAAGGCACATTATTTTAGCAATTAATCGATTATCTCCGATCGTGCATTGATTTCCAAGATTCCGGAACCTTCCATTCCTTCATGTGATCGCCATCATACGGAGTTTTGGCAGGGAGGCTGCTAATTTTACCAACTGACCTCCATTTTCTAGAATCCAAACGTCATTGCACCCCCTAGATATTTGGAGTAGGTCTGGTGTAGTTTGTACAGCGTTTTGGCTGCGTTTTTCTTAACACGTTTTTCGCCGTCACTGTCGTTGGACTTCTGATTATTTTTCGGCTGGGCTAGAATTTTTGAGGAGAACTTTTTGGGGTGTTTAATTCGGCATAGCGAGAAGATGTGAACATCTAATAGTTGCATCCCCGATGAATCCTGAGAATTCGAACTGGTTGATGACTGCAGTTTTGTGAATCTGATGGTTATTTGATTGTATTCAGTAGCAGAGAATTCCATTCACATCCAGGAGTTTGGTTCGCGGTGCCTCAGTGAAGCAATAGCAGAATGTATGCAAACATTCGAGGACGTAAAGTGAGTTCGTTCTATTCTGTCAAACCCACTTTTCTGAACACTGGCATCATCACTCCGGATCGCACAAAGACGGGACGGAACCCGTCCAACATTGTGAACTATAGTGTTCCTGTCAGTCACTATCCTTGCTACTTTGCAGCTGACTTGGCTCCATGTTGGTTACCAGCGCCGAATTCATCGGACTAAACGTGAACGAACATTAGCTAGAGGGTTGTTGTCATTGACAACTGACACCCAACTCTTCTCACATTGTCCCTCGATCACAAACGCATCTCGCTCTTCAGTCTTTTGTGATGTGACGAGCCGATATTGCGCCCCGACAACCTGCAGCCCAGCGGTAAGTTGGAAAGTGCTGTGTCCCCACTGACTGTGGGTGAGATGACCCAGTACCGTGCACAATCTCTTCTCATGTTCTTATTGATTATAGGAGGCAAAGCTGATGCGCTGGGTAGACTGGAACGGACCAAAAACTATCGATAAGTTTGAGCACTTTTTATTGGCCTGATATATATATATATATATATATATATATATATCATTCTTTCTATTGCTCCCTTATGAAGATTAGGCCAAAATATGAACGAAATAACCACTCGGTAATCAATTGACGAAATAGGAGCAAAAGCGAAACCTCGATTGCGCCAACAACGAGAAACAGCAGGTCACTGGGGGTAAATTCACTTAAACCGGCTGTTGGACTTTGACCAAAGAAATGATAGAGTACATAGTTTGACTGAGCTTGCGCCCGTAAACTCATAACTTGTTTAAATCTCAGTATGCTTTCTCATTCCAGGGCTCGTCAAAAGAATATTTCCTCCAGCTAAGATGCTGCCAACTCAAGCAAGGTACTGCCAGTATGCTCACCGGGACGGCTAATGAAAGATTTGTAAAGACAGCGTGAATAAATTTGCCTTTCGAAATTATAGACACAAAAATTTGAACCATTATTCCACTGCATCAAACAATAATACCAGTAAGCTTGTCAACGCCCCCTTGTAATTAACAAACATCCGAGATCACAATACACCACTGTAGCAGAGTTAAATGCTGTCGTTCGTGTACAAAAAAATTATTTCCCCTTAAGTACTTACTCTGATGTCTGCGCTACGTGACGAAAAGTACTTCCCTGTCCTGTAAATCCTACATTCCGATTTGCTCTGCTTTCCCAACTTGATGTACGAGTAAATTTGCCTGCACTTAAGGTTGTATTTGAGAAGACAATAACATATTGGTTGGCAATGCATAAATTACAGACGCAGCCAACAGAACGGAGGTGATTGGAAATACTAAAATTCCTTAGAATTACTGTACAAAATATACTACTTAGATAAGCACGAAATACGTGCATGGTCGGTTGGTAATTTATAAGGCCGTCCTGTTTTATGTATGCTTTCCAGCCTGTCCTGTTACAGCTTACCGCAGCTGTCCACTACTGAGCTAATACCAACCTGCTTCAGACCAAACGACAGCTCTGTTGTTGAAACGAAAACACGGTTGATCAATGGCTTTACAAATTCTGTTACGTCTTCTAGGAAGAGGGGATATTTCTTAGCACACCGCTCTATCAAGGGCAGTTAATACCCCGAATAGAGGCGACGAAGAAGCAGTTGCAATTGTGGTTGCTGCTGTTGATGATAGTGTAAAATATGGCTTTCTAATACTAAAGCTGATAATAATAAAGCAGGTGCAACTTCTCGGAGGTGGTTTCAAATCCAGGAACTGTCTTTTACTTCCCAGCTGGAGAATCACATAATATTCACGAACCACACTAAATACCATCAAGTGAAAACGCAGATACCTGGTTGTAACTACATTGCTAACCTCGATATAATCCTATTTCGTGACCATTGCACAGGATGAACGGAAAGAATGGGCCTTCTAGATACATAGTTTTACCACTAGTTAACCATGTTGCTCTCCTCTCGCATATCCAGTCAGCTGTAATACATACTAGAGAAGTTGGTTGATCGGACCATTCATCTGGACTGTGCCTCACACTGTGGAGGAATATACCGTTCATTTATTCCTTTATTTATTTATATTGTGTAACTACTGTAGTAGACATTGCAGAAACAATCCGATTAATCAAGACGACCGTAAACTCACATTTAGCTTGTACTGAACATGTTTGAGGGCATCAACAACTGTGTCTTTGCTTTTATCAAAGGCATCCTCGGTTGTATTAAGCACTTGGACTCTCTGGCGTTCTACATCCGCCAGCGTGGAAGCGACATCATTCGCTTGAGCATCGACTTCAGTCAATGAATTATCGAATGCAGTCCACGACTCAAGCATTCGGGACAAGTATTCCAGCAGTTCCTCCAATTTCTCGTACCAATTCTGAAGACGCTCCCTCAGTCCTTGATGTTTCAACTGATTCAGCTTTTCCAAAATTCTTTGGTAAGCGTTCTTTCCATGGGAATTCAGCTTTCCGATCAACTTACGAATCTTGTAAATTTCTGATCTACACTGTGACTTGAGGGCGGATATGGATTTTCCTTCACCATCCTGTTGGTTCAAACTGTCAGTGGTTGTGGGTAATCCTTTCTGTACTTCCGAAAGCCATGTCTCTTCCTTTTGAATTTCCGTCTTCAGTTTCTCAAAACGACTGTGTGCTGATTCAGCCTGGACACATGATCAAAAGTAGGATACTTGCAGATAAAAGATAACCAACTGGTTTTATGCTTATCCCAGGTTGGTAAACCTGTGAACTATTTTAATTTATATTACTTCTAAGTAGTAAGCGCCTACTCAGGTCAACCTGTTCAAATCATACCTTATGGGATGAAATACCTATAGTGTTGAATAGTGCTGATTTCGGCCACCTCAGTTTCTTTTGATCTAGCAACGAGTTGGCTGAAGTTAAACAAGGGAACACCAGCTTTATCTAACCATCCAATGAAAACAGTGTCTGAATGTATTTCAAGACATACCTCTTTCAGCTCGGCTTCTATCTTCCTTTGGAGTCTTCCGAGATCTGTTTGGTAAACAGAGAGTTCACGACGTGCAACCATGATAGGAGTTGTCATATCGTACTTTGTACGGGCCTCTGAAATATGGTCGATTACATGCTTTATTGTCTTGACATGTAAATCTCCGCTGGAGAGTTCCTCCAGTAGCTGTTCCAGGGAGCGACATCGTTCTGATTTGCCTGTTTCGTTATCCAAGTGATCAGGCAGCTCGGGAATGTCTGGTAGTGATGAATACTGAGTCTGAACCTTGTCAAGCCATTCTTGCGCACCTTCCATAGTCTTTCCGAGTTCTTCCAGATCATCAAGCTGTCGCTTCGCATCAGCCAGACCTTGCTGAGTAAAGTGAAAGGTGGCAACATTTTAGCACGTTTTCAAACACCAAGGACTGCTCTTACTGACATGCAACTATTTTACCCTAGTACAAAACTGAAAATCCATGAAAATCTTAAAACAAGCAAATTTTTGAACTTAATTAGGGCTCGACACACCAGTGCATTTGTCTTTTGAGTAGCATCCAAATCTCGCCATATCCACGTCTTTCTAAGACGTATATAGGGGAATCAATTTACGTAGCAACATCTGTCAGTATAGCGAAATTATGGACCCAGTATATAATGCGAGCTGCTACAGTTTCTTTTTAGGTGAAACGGTCTAATTAGTTTCTGCCTGCAGTATCCTGTTTCGCCAAGCACACGAGTAGTTCTTTTCCCAAAAATTCAACCATACTTCCATATAACCAAAATTTAAATTAGTAAATAATGGTATATATCTCGACAAAGCGAGCACAGTGCTACTCAGTGGTCCGCAACATATCGTATTTTATGAATATCCAAGCTCCACTTCCTACTGTGCTTGTCTTCCGTATGAGTTGGCGATTGGATTCCAATGCAGGGAAGAAAACTGATTTGAGCTGTGTAGGTGGAATAAAGCGGAATATTAGACCAGGTGAATCAGTGTGCAATTGGTGTGGGATTTTATAGCGAACAAGGGCGATAACCGAATTGAGGGCGTAGAACTCCCAAATGCGGTCTTAAGCCGGCCACCTTGACTAGTGTCGGTGCGTGGATCAGATTGGAAAGTGCAAACTGACTCCCATTGTCAACACGATGGGCTTATCTACCAATGTCATGACGCACAAAGGAACACCTGGACTGTTCCCACTGTGATTAAACCACCTGAGGTGACACCACGAACGGTTGCTGTAATGACATCATGGCTCAATTCTCGGGTAACGAGGTTATCGTCCCTGTTCGCTATAAAACCCTACACCAATTGCACACTGATTCACCTGGTCTGACGAAGCTCTTGTGTTGAGGGCGAAACGTTATCAAACTATTATACCAACCGATTGTGTCCAAACCTCTCTGAACTCATGTCTACTCGATCGGTTCCAAGTATTTTCCAAGAATTTGAAAGCGGAATATTTTTTCTCAACACAGTAGACAACTTTCTATGTGTCATGGTTGCGGTTGCGCGCAACCGACTTTCATGTGGTGAAATGAACTGAGTTCTCCCCCAAAGCTGCATTCACAAAAAAGATGATGCAGCTATACACTAGCAAGTTCAAGGAGCAATTAAGTACTGTTTTCTCAGTTCTCTCTATTTCCATTCACTTGAACACTTATTCTTCGAACTCAACAAATTCAACCTTCACCTCCGTACATGACAGTCTTAGATAACACTGGTAACTCGGAAATGGTATCCTTTAGAGGTTCTGGTAAACTTCGGTCAAAAGGGTTTGTATCATGCGGATTTATTGAGACAATATTCTGAGCACTTCGTCGCCATCAGGACATGCATCTGGCACATACTTTAACATTTTCTTCGATAGCTCGGAATTTTTTTGCAAGGGAGAGTCCTTCATCGGAAACCAGGTTTGTAACATCAGCACCACCCATTTCATCTTGATGAAACAGCTTCAAAAATGGTCTGGCTTCCATTTCAAACGTCCCAACAAAATTCTGTAAAATAGTACAAAGTACAACTTTAATAACCGAAATAATCGTAGCAAGTGAAACCACGTTTTCCAAAGACGCTGGTTTGGTTCTATCCACAATAAAGCAATGTTTGAGCACTTCAGCCTATTGTCATATGAGAAGAATACAGCCTCAATGGATCAAGATAGTTTGATATGACGGACCCAACCACATGGTAACATTTTAAGATACTCTTTTGGCCATGTACTGCATACCAGCCTTTATACTCGAGTCTGTTACGTCATAAATCACAAAATGCTTGTCGAGCTCGGATATCTATAGATCGTGTCTCATGTATATACATGACGATGACTAGGTCCCCTGTAACTGATTCAGCAAGTTACTTTTAGGAACGCTTCACCAACCTTCAATCGCAAATATAGTTAGTTGATAAAATCTGGGATGGAAGAAGCAGTTGTAGCGAAGGAGTTGTCTACAGAGATAGAATACTGTAGCAGAAATTATAGGAATTTAAAGCCATCTGATGAGATGAAATGACATCGAAACGCGTCATGGTTGTGCAGTGTGTTCGGGCGGGCAGCACCCAATTTCCATCTGCTTTGACTACGGTCCCAGTGATCGCAGTGACTAAGGTTCACTTCAATGTGAGTCGAGGTCCAATTTGAGATTGCGCGTCGCAATCCAAGCACACAACTTGTGGTCCAAAATTGACCCACCAATTAGTCATTTACCGTTGTGCCAAGCGTTGCCCGCCGTGGCCCGGTAGCCAAAGGGGTAGAGGTTTCGGCTACTATTCCAATGGTCACGGGTTCGAGGCCTGTTAACTCCACCTGATGAGATGAAATTACGTCTAAACGCGTCTTGATTGTGCAATGTTTTCGGGCGGGCAGCACCCAATTTCCAATGTGGCTTGGATTTAGGACTGAAGCATGAGAAATGATTTAAACAACGTCCCAAGTCCACATAAGCGGAGTTCAAAAAGAAGAGTTATGGAATCGTATCTTTTCCTTTCTGTAATCTGATGTTTTCTAACAAACATTGAAAAGCGAGATGCAACATATGCAAAGTATTATTCTGTCGTTAGTCTAAAACGTCGTCAGCAAGTTTCGTGTGAGACCAAAGTAGTTATTTTGACAAAGAAAACAGATGAGTAAGTTTTCCAGTTATAAAACTTCCATTTGTCTCTTATTTTTCAAAAAGCAACGAAGTTGACTGCTGTCCAATTTTGTGTGGATTGGTTTACGAAAAGTAGTCAAGTTTCATAATGATTTTACTTTAAACTACACCGTTTCTTACTTCACTCTTTTTAGTTGAAGTGTTGCTTACATACCTATCCGCTCAAACTGCCGCTCATTGCGGAAAGGTAGTCCTGTCGCGATGCAAATGAGTGGAGTCAAGGTCCGATATTATTCAAAGTATTGTTCACCTCTCCAATCCCTCTATCTAACTGAATAGTGTGTTGTGTGAGCGAGTATGTATTTAAATATGTACCCCTACACGAGAATATCAACAAAAAGGTAATAAAATGTATGGACCCTATTAAAGTTGTAATCGTTTTTCAATTTATTATGCAACTTATTAAGATATCTGACATAATGTATCGCAAGGCTTACAAATGTGAGATGTCTCTGTTAGTCTACAATGCTTTTGTGAATCGAAACTTGGTGACATGCGAATCCAGGAATCTGTGAAATGCTGCACATGTTTACGCTCTGATATAGTTTCCCATAGACTGTTCCAAACATTTATCACTCTACGTTCAAGCAAAGGGGCTACGAAAAAGCGCCCATATCCGAAACACAGGTTTGTGCCAGTGTCGGCATCTACTGTATGTCATTCGCAAGTGAAACAGCAGTCTAAACATGGGGAAGTCACAGTAATGTAATATGCGGTAGTCACGATGAGATCGACTCACAACGGACGAAAAGACAAGGTAAAGAGTCCTGCTTTCTCGCGCTGGTCTCTTGCAGCAAAGTCGTATAAACTCTAGACGAGTCAGGTAACGACCCGCTGGATCCGTCCAACATTCTGTATCTCGCTTCAGGAAACCGGACAGTAGGCGAGCTACTCGCAGTTCAGCACGCGTCTTATAGTGGAAGAGAAAAGCGAGTGACAACCTCCCCAGTTCAACAGGGAAGATGCGTTTGAAAGCCAAAAGCATACGCATTTCATTACAAGGTATTCTGTTCGATTTATCTACGGACATATAAATCGTAGCGCAACAGTACATCTAATCCTTCAAAGTAGGTGTAAGAGGTAGCGATTGGCCGTTGAGGGTGTACGTTGGACCATCACCACGGTTACCCAGGCTTATGAATGCCGCTTTGGCTAGGTTGACCTGACGGCGGACTTCTACAGACCACTTGGAAAGGCTTTCAAGATGTTACTGAAGTAGGCCGCAATCGTCTGGAGCAGCAGTTAGGTTGCACATCTTCAGGTAGTCCGCAAATAAGGCGCGAGGCAACCGTGCAAGCAAGGATAGATCGTTGATGTGGTTTAGAAACAGAGTGGGCCTTGGCATTGTATGTCGGGGTACGCCATTAATAGTGAAATGCCAGCGTTTTGATGACAATTGACCTGTACCAATGAGATACACCCATGTCTACTGGGACAGTGATCCATCAACACCGTACACTCGCAGCCTATGGAGCAGGATCTCCTAGTTGACGTTGTTGAAAGCTTTACTGAAATCACTGTAAAACACGTTGACAGACTTCCCCAGGTTACCTGCCCCAACCATTCACTGCCCGTCACCAGCAGTTTGGTCATGCGTGAACCACCCGGTATGAACCAGTGCTATGTGGGTGTCGGGAGATTTCTTGACCGAAACAGCTATAGAAGTCTCTTATTGAAGATCTAGGCTACCCTGACCCAGTGGCGTAGCAATTACTTTTGCCGCCCTGAATGGACGTAAAAGTGTCAACTCCCCCGTTGCGGTTGTAAACCCGTAGACCCACACAATTGCGAGCAGCTCTTTACTAGTTCGTTACATATAACTACAGTCAGAGATCTAACTTTAAAGTGCCGCCGTACATGAAGGCATTTGTATTGCTACAATACTCGTGAACAAAGTTGCGGTTACACTAATCGTGCATTACTTGAAGCAAAACTATTAATAAACCTATGAAAATTCAGTCTAGTGGATAATTCTCTCTCTATGGGAAGAGCTGCCAATCTGTGATCCTTGTCTGATTCACTGATGATTGTAGGTAGTTGGTATTAAGCTTGCTTTTTGAGACTGTGCTCTCAACAGTTGCAATGCTAGTAGTTTGGCTAATACTTCAGCAGATTTCCTAAGGTGATATTTCTGTATGAAGCTCAAAAGTGCATTAAGTCCGTTAATTTTGTCGTTTCCTAAAGCTTTCACAAGATACTGCGATATTTCCTTTTGGCAAAGAATTACTCTTTTTCTATATATTTCTCAACTTCGCTTAGTGTACAATCGTATCAGACGGTGTAAGAAAGCTATGGCATTTCATCTGTAAAACTGTAGGCGACAAACAGCATTTCCCGTTTTTACTCAGCGTCAAATCCCATCGGTCTATCAAAAAATTCTTACCCGCCCATTCCTTTCTTTTGGCGGATTCGACGCTTCATGCTTATTCTCAATTCAGCGCAGTAGTCTCGGATTATTGCGTCGCAATGTCCAACGTTTTGCCTTTATGATGAAGAAGGCGAAATCTTAGTTGTAAGCTTGACAGCACTTTGCTGCGGGTCCAGCCTTTTGTTTAAGCATAACTCTGCATGCTTAATTTCATTGAGAACAGATCTCAAAAACCTCAAGAACAATGTAAATGGAAACGACAATACCGAGATGAGAATTAAAGCTGCATCAGATCTTGTGGTCGCAATTTCTTCTTTTCCTGCCAGCTGTTACAGAGAAGTGACAATTTCCGACTATTTCTTCACCATAGTATTTACTGTGCAGCTCGACTACTCCATCTAGCTTTTATAACCACTTGACGGTTATACCGTTGACTTGAATCAGAACATTTCCGCAGTGTTTAGATGAAAAATGGATAATAACTGGTCCATCGTAGCAAAAAACGTAACCGAGTGAACCGTAGCAGAAGCTGTATGTACACAAGCCAGATTCAGGGAATGGTTGTGTATGGCACAAATGTAGCTTTGGGTCGATTTCGCAGATATCACTACACGCCCGAGCAGTAGCCTGCCATAACAACAGCGTTGTTGGATTCCTAGTCACACAGTCATCAATCTGAATTCCATCCAATTTGGTGAAAACCAGTCAAGAAATTGTCTCTACTTTTTGCTGTTGGTCTCAGTGAAGTTGAGAATCGACTCCTCTACCATCACCTCATTTTAATAAAGTTCTACTTAGTACATCACTTCACGCACCTGCTTTTCGCAAGATGCATCTGCAGTGCTACCAAAAATTAGGCAAACATGCTCTCCTTAACCTGATCTATGATTTCATTTGTCGCCTGATCTACAAAATGCTCACTAATCCATTCTGTTTGTGTGGCGACCAATAAAAGGTGCTGATTTTTTTCCCCAGCTGAAGTATCATCAAATGTTCGTGAAGAACGGGGTCATACTTTGCCAACAAATGTACAAATTCTAAAAGATACCCACTATTTTACTGGTCTAATTCATCATTCTGGATGTCTTATTCTTGACCACTCATTATCACATTATGTCTGTTGAGAAGCCTGAGTATATCAGGAAATATCGCGCGGATTCTACGCCACCACTTCGTCTCCTTTTCTACAAGTGATAGCTCCATTTTGTTACATTTTTCAGCTAACCGGATCGCTTTTTCCTTGCGGTTGAGGTACGACAGCATGCGATTTACTAGATTCGTGTTCATATGTTTTCGCATTTAGTTCCCACAAGTTTCTGAGACCCTCATCAGTCGAGAAACTAGACTGTCGGCTTGAAAACATCCTGCAATCGCAACAAAACAAGGCCTCTTTCGAAGCAGACTATCCCATTTGAGTTCGCAGTCTTTACTCACCGTTTTGCAAATTCCGAAAAAACCGTTTTGTTGGTAGCTTCCTAGC